AGGGCTGAACGTAACGTATGCCCACCGCCACAGGGCCCCGGCCATGGGCCGGAGCGCGGGCCCGACACACGACAGCCGAGGGCGCAAGCCCCAGCCCCCGCCAAGCCCGGGGTGCTCCCAGTACCTGTCCTGTACTGTCAATGTGGGTCTGCAGGCTGTTGCCTGGCAGGCCGGCGCAGCACCCCGTCTGGCTTCCTGCTCTCCTACACGACCGCACGGCTTGTCGGTCAAACCCCCGTTCGCGATCCGAACGCGATCCCCTGCAGGGCAGCACCCTGCCGGCCGCAGCGTCTTGCGCGGGCAGAGCGACCGAACCCCACTTCCCAGGACCCACCTACCCTAACCCTTCACCCCGCCTGGCGACCTTGATTGCCACAACGTAGTCCGGGCCGACAATCGCCGAGGGCGATCCGATTGCTCGGCACGCCTGCGGCGCCCGATCGGCGACGCGGGGCTCGCGGGACCGGTCCCTGGCCGGCTGAAGCTGCTGGCCCCGAGCCTGTCCATCCCGCCTTTCGCCTGATGGACAAGGGCACGGCGGAGGGCGCGGGGAATCCGCCGTCCGTGGCCCCAGCCGCGTGGCCCTTCAGCTGCCTGTGGTTTTCCGACGCGGCGGAGGAGGCCCGCTTCTGCGCCTGGCCCGCCGCAAGCTGCTTCGAAGCAGCTGAAATCAGGCCTGTGGACCGCGCCTACCCCAATTTGACGCCCTGCTGTTCACTTTCGGCTGGGTGCTGCTGCGCGAGTACGGCCTGTCGGGCCTGGGCATCCTGACCCAGGCGCTGTGCGCGGTCAACCTGGCGGTCGACTGGCTGTGGCACTGGTGGAGGATCACCGATCTGCCGGCGGCGCGGACGCGCATGGCGCTGGTCAAGCGGGTGGTGTGCAACGTGCCCGCCCTTATATAAGGGAGAAGATATATCTTCTCGCCGCTCTGGTTCAAGAAGCCTGTGGCCAGCCCCTGGCCGCTCGCGCGATTCATGATGCTGGCCACTGGCGTGCTGGGCCCGACCTTCCAGACCCTGGGCGTGTCCATTCTCACCAAGCAACACCTGCGGGTGCAGCTGCCCACCGTAGCGTACAGCACGCTGTTCATGCCGGCGCGCGTATGCTCGGAGGTGACCGTACTGCCGCACGACGCGGTCTACGTCGAGGCGGCGTGGAGGTGCTTCAACGCGCTGTGCACCTAGGCGGACCAAGGGCCCCCGACGCCAGGGGCGCTGGACTGCTGCCGGGACGTCGTCTTCATGGTGGCGCTGGTGCTGAGCCTCCTGGCGCCGTCCGTTGTACGCCATGTGGGTTTGGGAACAGGGGCCGGCGGCCAGCCGCCCGACATCGGGGGCGGTGGGCGTGCACGTGATGCTGTTCGCCACCGCGGCGTCGTGTCTGTGGACGGTCATTCACGCAGGTGGGCTTGCTGTGACCGCCACCGCGAGGGCTTTCCGCGCTGGGAAAGGCATCTGGGACTCGCCATCGTCTGCCCCTTGGGCGGTTCGGGCATTGCGTTTGCGTCGTCAGAATCCCATGACATGTTGGATGACGTCATGCCTTGGATGCCAGTTGTTTGTTTTCAGGCATATCTTGCCGTCACTCTGCAAAGGGATTGGCGGCGACTGGAAAATTCTTCCCTTGCTCTCGCGCGAGTGGAGGGCTTGGGCATTTGCGTTGTTGGAGGGTGGGACAGAAAGTGCGGTTCGGACTTTGCCATTTGCTCTTATTTCGATGCTCTTATTTCGATGCACATAGTGAATGATGCACAACATGTGGCATTCATGCGTAGAAACGATGTTCAGCTATGCCACGCCATTTAAGCAGACACTGAGAATGTAGGCATTGGCCAGTTTGTGCCGCTGCTGGTTCAGTCATCGAGTTTAGGTAGGCCAGCACCCTAGCCAACGTGTGGCATGCGGCTCTTTCAAGCCTGAAGCTTTGGGCAATGCTTGCGTCGCCAGGGATTATGGTGAATCGAAGGTGCCAATGTCTCGTTCCGCAAGGAATTCAGGTGTCGGTGTTGTTGTCCAAAGAGCACACGACTGCAGAAAAAGGTTCGTTTAAGCAACAATATGCAATGTACACCGAAACACATCTATAGTCTATGTAGGGCCTGCTTGGCTGCAGGTAGTGCTATAAAAGCAATGGCGTTATTGCAGAACGGTGTCGCAGCCGCACCCCAATGAGCTGTAATGGATGCAATTATCCCCCAATAGTTGCATGTATGTCAAGTGCGTCTAACACTATCTCTTGGCTACTAGCAGAACGAGGTAGTGGTAATGTTTCCACCACTGATGTTGTGTTAGGAAAGCTGTTGTGCACCTCACATGTGACAGGGGACGGGTCCAAATTCTGGACGCCATCGTGCCGCCAGGGAATTGGATGTCGTGCCAATTTCGCGATGCTATCTATACCGTGGAGTGGCCGCTCCATCAAGACGAATAGTGTACTGTGCAATAAACCCCTCTGGCAATATGAGACACCCGTCGTTTCCGCCAAAGGCAATTGTCCACGCTCTTAAGCCAGTGGAGGTCGCCAAGCGCCTCCTGCTGATTCCATCGGCAACGAGGACTTTGAGTCGGAGAATGGCCAGATTCGGTGTTAAGATGAATAGGCATTGATAGTACGCTAGAGACGGCCTGTTTGTAAATGCATTAATCCCTGATCACCTATGCTTGTTCGCATTTAGTGCCCTTGTCTGGGAGGTTTCGGACTTAAATTCTGTGGAATATTGTGCATGCAACTGGCATTTTTACAACGCAAGGTGTTTCATATGTATATTTCAATATTGAAAGGCCCCTTATGCAGTCTAGTGCATGTGGTGCTTGTCAGCGATCATGTTGATAAAAATACCATTTCTTGGATAACGATTGAAATACGGGGAGTGGCTGGGGGTGGGTGGTTTGTATCCGGCCCCATATCCTAGATGTCGAATATGAGGTGGGCAGCAAATCCCGAGATGCGCAATTGGTTGTGGCCATACCTTGTATATTGGGCCTCCACATCCTGAAGATTGTGGCAGGATATGGCTATAGGCAAGTTGTGACAGCCCGTATCCTTGGCATGACCTTATCCTGGATATGTATATCTTGGACAGACCCGTAAATGCAGTTTTTTTCGATGAAGCTGTGTAGATGCGTATTGGCGCTGTTGCAATGGCGCCACTAGACGTCTTTCTGCGCAGCGGCATTGATTGGGGCCTAGTCTTTCTGAGAAGCACGGCTGCAGAGTGCCATGTTGAATGCCACAAATTCTGAAAGTGCCATCAGTGGTGAGAATCTCACGAACAAGATTCTCACCGCTGACAGCCCTTGTAGACGGTCATCTCATTGGGAAAAGGCATTGTTGCCCCCGAGAAAGGTGCCTTTTTGTGTCAACAAAGAACTTGCCCTTTTGTGCAATATGATGTTCAGGCTGTTGTGACTCGCGTTTCGGCGGCCGTGATCCGTTGGTTTCTTAGCAGCAATTTCTATTTAGTTATATATTAATAAAAGGTGAAAGCTGCCCAGTTCGGAGTGGCGCAGTGGAAGCGTGGTGGGCCCATAACCCACAGGTCCCAGGATCGAAACCTGGCTCCGAAACTTGTTTTCGGGCACGCCGCCTTTTGCGCCGCAGCGTAGAGCATACCAAGGGCTGGCGTCCCGAAATCCCGAGCTTCGAGGTTCCTTCGGCATGGTTGGGACCTCTGCCGCAGGCCCCAGCCAAAATTCCGTTGTTCACAGTTCGTGAGGAACTGTGAGCGTGAGAGTGAGGATTTGATTCGTCGTTTATTGTGCAGTCCGCAATAAACGACAAATCCAAGCGCATGTGCCCCAGGCATGCGTCACGATCTTTCGAAATGGGCACAGGGCGTATCTTGACGCACGTCTGTTGCGTCCTGATACGCCCTGTGCCCATTTCGAAAGATCGTGACGCAAGTGCTTTCAGACCCTGGCGCAACGCAAGATGCGTCGTGTGCACACTGCCATGCGGGCCAGCTGCAGCAGCACCCACAGCCACGGGAAACCCTGCAAGAGGGTGTATGTGCGAGTTGGCCGTGTTTTAGGACGCCCCCTCTCAGGTTGGGCTCGATCAACGACAGCAGATATTGCAGCAAGCATACAGTCTGCACCCCGGCCAGAGGCAACATGCCCAGTCCACAACGCACGGGCAGGATTGTGGAAGCGGTCGCCGCCGCTTGCGCAGCTGCACCGGCTGTGCGCATGTCGAGGAAATGTGCTGCGAGTGTGCACGCAAGGACTTCAGCTATGACGGGCACTGCAGCGAGTCCTGCATGCAGGCACGGCCAAGACGAAGTCCCAGACAGCGACATGCTGGAGGGAAGCCAGAGCGCCACGGAGCCTCGCGAGTGTGAGGGAAAGGATGTGGCAACCCTGATGACCGGTCACCTCCCTAGAGTACATCATCTTACAATTCCAATTGCCTGCACCTGCCTCCGCAGCCTCTGGCAGTGCCCACCGTCAGGCACGTGGGCCAGCCACAGGCTCCGAGCATTCCCGAAAAAGCCATGTCTACATCCGCATTTTCCCACACACACACCCACACCCACCTACCCACCCACCCAGTTCATTTTCCCAACCAGCACAGGCACTCACAGGCCCCGCCCTGGCGCCCAAGACAGCATGACCATCCTGCTCAAAAGAGCGTGGGGCAAGATGCCACACGTTGCCCAGATTAAGCGCGCAGCCGCCTCACCCTCAAAGGCGAAGTGCTAAGGAATTACAACATCCAGCCCCTAGGACCCTGCCAAGGCGCGTAGCCTGATGCCAGTCCCTGTGACCAGCATCAAATTTAATTCAGTCCCTGGCCATTGTCCCCGCCATTCAATTCCTTCCACTGGTAGCCAGGATCAACACATCTGGCCGAATTGAGGAAGCCAGCGCCAGCATGTCAATACCATCGGACCAGCAATGGGCACAGCTGTTGGCAAGCAATCTGCTCGCTCTTGCACGCTCCCAGCCTACGTCACAGCCCCTTCCATCCTGGGCAGCAGGCCACTGTCCACAACAGGTTCACACATCTACTTTCTGGTGACCTCCAGCCCCATTCCACCCAGATTCCTTCTTTGGGGCCGCAAAGCTCACCACCAGCTTCTTGCCTCGGGTGTCCCCAGGCACTGACACCTGCCAATGCGTTAACAAACAGTCAGCGGTCTGCAGTAATGAATGTGCCGTTGGATGCCAAAGGATGCAAGTGACAGAGGTGGGCATCATGTAAATGGATGCAAATGGATGAGTTCGAGCGAAAATGGGAGACATCTTGCATGAGAACAATTCTGGCATGGATACTGCGCGCAATCTGATCAACAACTCAGAAGCTGCAAACCTATCCAGAGATCTAACAGAACGGGTTGGAGACACAAAACGCAGAAGTGGTGGTGATCTGGAGAAGGGACTGATGGCACAGGTTAGACAAAAGTTATGTACTGTGAATATCCATATCCAAAATATGGAACTATGGAACATTTAATATCCAGGATGTAGACCCCCATACCCCAATGGACAATCAGGATGTGAAACTGTTCGCTAATGCATAGGTGGCATGCGCGGGCTGCGTGAGTTTACAGCACAGGATCTGATTGTCTGGCTCATGGAGACAGGGTACAATCTGGTGTTGACATTCCAGCTGGAGATTGGAACACGACAAGGATCTGTTGGCAAGGGGGGAGAGCAACAACACAATCTGGGATTCATGTTCTGTCTAATATGAATTACAGGGCGTCTGATTATCACCCTGATGCCAATATTTCTACTTTCTTGTGCTTTGTACTGAGGTAACAAGGCCCAAACGTTCTACAATCCGAATGGGGCTGCAGCTGATCTCCTGAACTCCAATGCACAAAGAATGTAATCAAGCAACAGCACACCTGGCCATTGAACCGGCCTATTGCCCGCTCCGCCGTGGGCCGGTCCGCATATGTCACAAAGGCACAGCCACGGCTGCGGCCCTCATTGGTCCTCAGTATTACCAACTCCAGGATGTCCCCCAGGTTGCTGAACAATGGCCACAGGTCAGCCTCCGTAGCATCGTACGGCACCTGGTCAACAAAACACAGCAATTGAGCAAACACCCTTGACAGAATTCTGCTGGAGATTCGGCCCTCGCCACCCAGCAAGCTCAGCAGCACTGCTCACCAGGTGCTGGCAAAAGCACTCCAGACTCGCCATTCACTTCTCACCTGTCCCACAAAGAGCTTCCATTCATTGGCACGTGGATCGGTGATGCCTGGCCCCAGCTTACCGCCTGCGCCGCCAGGGGGCGCCCCAGATGACATCAATGCCACACCTGTGCCTGGCATGCCCAGCATTCCGTTCATGCCCGCCATCCCAGTCATCCCCCCAAGGACATTGTTCATCAGAGCGCCATTGCCCAACATGCCACCATAGGCAGTGCCGTAGGCCCCGCCGGTGTAGCCCGTGGGGTAGGCACCAGCGCCCATGGGGTAGGCCGTGCCAATTCCCTGCAGGTTGCACACACAGGGTCAACTGGGTGATTGAGTGATGGGCAAACCAAGCACCAGTTAAGACAGTGTCCTTTCAAGGATGGGGTAATGATGATGCCACTAATTCCATGCCACATCGTTCAAATAAACACGGTTTTTCCCTGGTCCCCCACCCCACCCCAGTTGAAGGATAATGAGTAGCAGGAGCTGCCCGAAGGCAACTGTTAGAGCTGTTTTGTGCACTTGTGCCACAGGCCACCACTAAGCCAGACAAAACAGCCACCATCTGACCGGGTGTATCCTCACACACAGTGCAGTGAAACACACTCGCCATGGTGGGGAGGAACGACACTGAGACAGCGTCAGGACCAGCTCCAGGAGGATGCAAAGGGACGACATTACTACAAAGTTCTGCAGCCAGTGGGCGTCCACTGCCTCCTGTGAAAAGCTACAAGCTTCGCTCTTCCCACAAGTGGCAGATTAGTTGCTGTACGGCCATCTCAGCCCAAATCACACCAACCTGGGGCTAAACCAGAAAAAGAATCGAGGGAGCTGCACAGCTGGAGTGCCTCACCATTCCCATCATGCTTCCCGAAGCCATGTTGCCCATCAGGTTCTGAAAGCCCATGCCACGCCCCATTCCCTGGTACCCGTAAGGGCCCAGCTGGCCGGCTTGTGGCCATGCTGCCCCCAGGCCCATTGTACCTTGGAATCCGGGATACGCAGCTGCTGGGGTGACGTTCGCCTGGCTGTGGAAGGGCCGTTTGGCACTGCTGACCCATGGGTCCTCGTTGATGGGCCGCTTGGCCCCCACCTGCAAGATGACGAATGAATGGGTCCATCAAAGAGAGGTGAACAAAACATCAGGTCATGGCACGTGTCTCCATGGGGGTTTGGCTCTTCAGACACTGCCAGTTTTGCTGGCAGCCTGCGAGGTGCACACAATGCAAGGCAACAACAAGGTTCCAGCCGCACATCGCAGGGGCACACCTACAAGACAGTTCATTTGATCACATCTACCAAAGCATATGTTGGCGGTAGGCACAATGCTTTGGTTTGTCAACAGCCCAGGAATGGAGAAGAAAATTAGTGAGCAGGTCTGTGGCCAGGTATGGCACACCAGGATTGCTGTTTGGATTCATTGGGCTCCAATTAACACCACTGCATGCTCGCTCCCAGCACCTGCAGAGTGCAGTCTGCACAAGCGAGCCCAGTGGATGGACAAGCAAGCCGTCACATTTGCATTTGCCACAATATGGCAAAGGCCATCCTTGCTAAAGTGCTGTGCCCTGTTGTTGCCTCCATAAGACAAAGTGCCTTGGACCTCAAAGGCAACGACGAGCTTGCAGGCATCCAAGACACTTGCTTGCCATCCTTGGACCCACAATGCGATGCTGGGCACAAGCCCAGAAACATTCGTCTGCCAGGACATCTCAACCTGCTAGCAGGCATTTGTGCCACCGGCCTGGTATTTCAACGACATAACCTCCACCAGATCTGCCCAGATTGTCAGTTCTTGCCCAGCTCCCCCACCTGAGAGTCTGACCCATCCTTGTTCTTGGCATCAGCGAACTTGACAACCAAGGGGTTCTTGGCACCTGGAATCTTCTGGTGACCGTGCAGGTTCTCCATAGCTGTCTCTGCCTCCGCCCATTTGTTGTACTTCACAAAGGCGCATCCTGTTGCTGCCAGGAGGCAGAACGTTTAGAAGAAGTGCCACATTCTGACAATATGGAAGACCCCCATATCATGGATATCGATGGGGTGTAACGAGATGTGCAGACTCCGACAAGGGACACCGCAGTGTGATCGAATCCACTTTGTGTGCATTCAACTAAATGAACAAACGACTGCCACAACCGTTGGGCAACAACAGGCACTTCAGGACGCTTGATGACTGCAGACGATCTCCCGACAGCACAGCGGCCAAATTGGCACAACTCAACACCCAAAATGGCATGGTAAAACTTGAAAAGGTGCAAGCCCCGTAGTTAATGCAGCACCTCGTCGGATTTTCCCCACCATTTGCGTACCCCTTACTTTCCCTTTCTCATTCCCCAGGGCTGTGCTCCAAAAGTACACAGCTTCCAAGATCAATAACAAACAGCTGATGGGCACATGCAAGTGCAGTGTCGGTAGCGATCCAACGAGTAGCTTACTTGTACCGCTTCCCTTCCTTGACACATGGAACTCTACAATTTGACCATATGCCTCGAACAATGCCCTGACATCTTCATCGGATGCATCCTTGGGGACCTTAACACAAGGAAATACCAAATGAGTGCTGGTAGAGAGTGCATGGAAATCTGCCGGCTTCTGGGGAACTGCGGTGTACACATCACACCACAGCGCGCACAAGGGACTTACAGCACCAAGGCAGCAACAGCAGTCTGGCAGAACAAGCTCCGCATAGCTTCACAGTGTTGGGGTACATGGCTTGCCACAAATCGACAAAAACAACAGGCCGTACAGAAACGGACACAACTTCGTTGCTGCATTCCTGTGGTGTGCTCGTTGCCTGGCATCGCTGTAACAGTGCAAGGTTTTGCCGCGTTGTGGCAAGTGCAATGAAGATCACTTCCAAAAGCCAATGCAAGCACAAAAGGGCTTCAAGGCACACAAGGAATTCCAACTCAGCAGATTGTTGCCATCAGGGCATTGTGCCAGCAACAGGGTCAGCAACAACAGCCCAAAGGCAGCACCAGACGGGTTTGGCTGGGTATTAACTGCAGAGGCACTGGGCGGCAATGAGGAGCACCCCCCCACCCCCACCCCACCCCACCCCACCCCACCCCACCCCACCCCACCCCACCCCACCCCAAACAATGGCATCAAACAAAATTTCAAGCGTGCATTCAGTGCAGATGAGCTGCACCAAAACAAATTGGGTGCGTTTGGGCGAATGCCCAACCGTGATCCCCAACAACAGCGCGCCAGAAAGCTTCAGCCAGAAGCCATTCGGGTGCAGGCCTGGCACCTGGCGGCATGGCTCCCTCCCAGCGACCCCGCAATCCACCCCGCACCAGTGCGTTGGTTGCGTTGTGCGATCATAATTACGCGTCGGAGGCTCTGTATCATTCTCACAGCATTGAAAAAGAGCCTCGCGATGTATTCACTCAGGAGGTGCCCTCCTCAGTGGCCCTGCTTTTGTAACACCCCCCAGCCCTCTCCCAAGCACTCAAGCAGCCTCTTAGCGCCCGTTCCCAACCCCAGCGCCCGCCAATGCGAGGCGCTCCGCCGGCCTGGGTCCAACCGGGCAAATCCGCACCACCTTCCCTAAGTCCTTCCGCTCGGCCAGCGGCCCGGATCTCGGTCGCCAGCGCCCGTTGCCGGCCGCGAGAACGGGGTTCCCACCGCCAGCGCACAAAACCTGGCGGCCACAAAACCCAGGATTGCCGCAAGCCCCCCTTTTATACCCTGGCGAGAAAAATCGCGAAAGCGTAAAAGCTCAAGGAATGTCGGACGGACTGCAACTGTGACCGACCAGACTGCCAGAGCGCCCATCGGCCCTCGGCTCATGGGCTGCATGCCATCGCGATCCAGCGGATCGGTCCTTCCCCCTTCCCTCTGCCACCCCCTCCCCGCCCAAGAATATACATAGGACGCGGAGGAATGGCCCCAAATCGCGCACAAACAGAAGGCACCCGCATTCCATGGCACTGCACAGGTACGACTCCGGCACCACACCAGGGAACAGGGGCTCGACGGGGGCAGGCCCGGCCGGCACCGCCTTACCTCACATGCAAACGACTACTGACGCTGCAATACGGACACACACAAGCACGCCACACACGCACACACCCGCACACACCCGCACACACCCGCACACACACTCCCACGACAAACAAGGCCTGGGCCGTTCTGCGGCCCACCATGCGCCCGGCGCAGCCTCGCTGCTCCCGGGACGGAATGCACTGAGTGCATGGCTGCAACAGCTTGACACGCACTCCCACACACACAGACATACGCACACAGGGCAGGCGGCCACAGCACTGACAACACTGACACCGAGGCAGGGCATTTGGGGGGGGATCACTCGACACCTGTCCGACAAACAACGTCTTCGGCGCGATCGGCGGCGCGCCCCCTCCTCTTTTCGGCGGGTCAGCGAAATTCACAACCAGCGCTCGGTCCTCCCCCAGGCAGGCGTTACCGTTGGTCGATTCCATCGCCGCCTCTGCCTCCGACCACTTATCGTACAGCACCATCGCACAGCCCTTGCTGCGGCCGTCGGCGTGCGTCATGAGGCTGGCGCTCTTCACGTTCCCGAAGCGTCGGAACAGAGCCAGCACGTCCTCCTGGCTGCACTCCATCGGGATCTGGCCGATGAAAATTTTGGGCTCGCCGCACACCCGCGCGTTGCGGTCGCCGGCGTCCTCCCGCATCTTGGCGCGCTCCCTGGCGAGGACAATCTGCTGAGAGCGACAATCCGGCGCCCCCTACCCCTGGAGGGCGCTGCCCGGCAAACGGCGCTGCCCAGCGTCACTAAAAACCTGCCGTGCCGCACTAAAAGCCTGCTGTGCCGGCGCGATGGGCTCGGCGACTTCGGACGCTCCTTCCCCGCCCGATTCCGGCGCGGCGCGCTGGACGGCCCCAGGCAACCAAAAGACCCCACCGAACGTGAAGGGGCGGCGGGTAAAGCAGCCTCCCACAGTACATTGCGCAGTACTTCAGCGAATGGCCAAAAAAATGTTCCCAAGAGCACCCCCCCCCTAACGGCGCGCAGTATATACTGCAGTATATTGAGTTGGAAGTGAAACGTTGCATTGCGCTTGGGATCGGCAAAATGGGCAAGAAAAATGTTCCGAGAGCTGGGCCGCCAGCACCGCCTGCGTACTGACCGCATTGCGTTGTCTCATCGAAACCGTACATTGCGCGGGTAGCGAAGGCGGCCCCCCGCAGTACATTGCGCAGAACAACGGTAAATCACGCACAAAAACAGGTGCCAAAAGCACGCCTGGGACGGCGCCTTATGTACTGAGTACATTGCATCGGAAGCGGAACGGTCCATTGCGTCTGACATGAAACGGTACAGTGCGTCGGAATTGAAACAGTACATTGTTTCTGAAGTGGGCCTGTACATTGCATCGGAAACGAAACGTTCCATTGCGTTGGAATTGAAACAGTATATTGTGCCTGAAGTGGACCAGGGAGTTGGTGTTGCGGGGCGGGAAGCATGGAGCTGAGGGACAGCGATGCCGAGAGCGACGGCGGGCCGGAGGCCGTGAGCCTATCGGCGGGAAGAGACGTTTTCCTGGCCCGCCGGAGGCTGGAGCGCGAATCGGGCAAAAAAAATGCGGCCGGGGGCGGCGGGGCGCGGCACAACGCTGCCAGCGATCGTGGATCGGGAGAGGAGCGGGGAGGCGAGGGGAATGGGGGAGGGGGGGAAGGGGTCCAGGATTCGGTGCCCAATCGCCTGCCCGATGAGGTGGTCAAGGTGATGATGGCCAGGGCAGCTAGGTGCGGAAGCCGGCAGCCGGCTGCGGGCGAGCTCGGAGGCGATGCGCGCCGCCCTGTTTCGTTGCTTGGCGTTCGCGCTGCGTTCGCGTTGGAGGCATGGTTGTGAGCTTGTGCGGTATGGGGAACGCGGCATGACAAAATGGCAATATGGCAGAATGGCAAACGTCAAAATGGCAGAAATGGCAGAATGGTAAAATGCCGCGCACTGTCTTGCTCAGAAAGGCATGCGCAGATGAGTGCAACTACACATGCACGTACGGGCGCCCACATTGGGCAGTTTGTTTCAAGATCAATGCATTTCTTCAGCACTCTGGTCTCTGCGATCTGGTTTGGGAGGTATCCCTTCTAAACTGGCCCTCTGTCATCACTACGATTTATCCCAATGGCCGATGCTTTCTGGTTTTTTTTGTTTGGCGTCTCAACGTCCTCCAGTATGAAGCTGTGAGTCATGGTGGATCCCAAGAAGGTGGCGCAATTTCCTTTATTTTTTTTGGTTGATAAGCGACATTATACAGCCCTTGCACACAGAATGTTGAATGTGATCCATGGAAAAGCCTTCAACCAAATTCGATCTGTTTTCCAAACTTTTGGGTGTCGTTCTTTCCATGCAGGAGATGGTCGTCCAACGCTGACAGTTTCGAACACCTTGGAGAGTGTTTATCAACGACAATGCACACACATGCACACAGGACACTGTGCTGCAATGCGGCAACAGGCATTGCAACATTCCAATGAAAGCAAATGGTATTGTGTCGTCATGTCGCCAAACAAGATCACACAATCATGGCATCATAGTGGAATACCTGGCTCTGCTGCTCAGCAGCTTTGGGGGTTTTGGACAGCAATTTGTGGTACCTCTGTCATGGAACATCATTTCATGCAGTGGCGAGCACAAATGACGGAGCGCTTGTCCAGCACTCCGCTGTGGAAGATGCTGAGTATGTCCTTTTCGATCCATGCAGGAGCACTCAACGCCAGGGCCATAGCGGACAGCCCAGGCTCTTTGGGAAAGGCAACTCAGGAGGCATGAAACGGAAGCGGACAGCGGTGACAGAGGTGAACAAGGGGCCTATTGTCGTGAAGGTGCTGTATGGCGATGCACCGCCCAAGGCCACAGGTGGGGAGCAGCCCATATCCTCTTTTGAATAAATGCATCCGTAACAGCTTTGTGGAAAGCGACACACCCTTGTGTTGTATTGTGTTTCCCCTGAGTTCAGATCATGTGACGGCATCAATTTTCCTGCTGGACTACAAGGACTTGACAAATCTATGCCTGTGTATACCCTGCGGACGGTTTGCCAAGATAGAAACATGGCATGCATAGATGGCATACATATGGCTTGTAAAAGGCACACTTCTCCTGAGCAACTACTGCTTCTGTAGTATCTGCTGTATGTTGTCCCCTTTTGTGTCAAGTGTAGGATGGTGCCCCCTATGTGTCCCCCTGTGCAGTTGCACCACAAAATCGCACTTGCACTGTTCAGATCTTGAAGAATGCATGCGCAAAAGTGGGAGTGTGCCAAACAATGCACTCAGCCTTCAGCCTTTGAAGAAAATATAAAGACAGTGTTTCAAAGCCAACCTGTGTGAAAACATTTGCTAACTGAGACCAAAGCACTACTCTTTCGCCTGCAAGGCAATGAAAGGCATCATTTCCACCACCCACACCAAATGTTCGAAACCTTGTCAAGCCCTCCTCAAGGCAATTCAGGACATTGCAAGAATATCTCCGAAATTGTGATTCAAAAGCTTCAAGGACACAAAAGCTATGCATGAGAGTCTTCACTGGGGGTCGCCAACATGTTATTGCAGCAAGGCCAGAGAGCACAGAACTCGTGTCAAAACTCGCTACATCCGAACT